CTCTCCTAATTTAGTTATCAGTGCTCCCAGTCCACCACAGAACCTGCTGTACTAAAGAAGTGTTCATCGCCGCAAATCCCAGCGTAGTTCACCGATCTGTCAGAGCAGAGTTACAGTGCGTCAGGGGCTTCTTACTCTAGGGATGCTTTGCCGAATGATCGGTAGCCCCTATAATTGAGCTGATGCAGCAGATACTATAGCAGGAGTCGTTTCATAATGCTGTTTAGAGCTGCAGCCCAATTCATAAGGTCTGAAAAGAAAAGGTAGGGGGTGGTTATTCAGTGTAGCTGAGACATCCTCTTGCCCCCCTATAAACTTTAGATTTAGGTTTCTCCTCTATAAACATTAACAGAGATTCCCTTGAATAACCCAGCTGCTGGCTGCTCGCGATAAAGCACGGCTACTGTGTAGTTTCCAACTTGGAACAGCTGCACTTTTGCTTCCAACTTTCACTGTCCTGCTCACTGTCATCTGCTGTAAATAGATTACGCTGATGAGGGTTTGACTGCTGGAAGTCCTCAGATATTAAAAAGGCCACAGTCCGACTAAATTGTTTGGCTTTGTAGTTCTAGTCCCTGACCAGAGGTTGGGTGATTTGATTCAGCATGTCATTCTGAAATAGGTCTTGCCTATCACCTGTCTGAACGTCTTAACGTTTGAGCGTATGAGATGGGGTCCTAATGTGTAAACGTTAGTACTGAAGTGCATACAAAGTCAAGAAACATACTTGCACAGTACAGCTTTAAACACTTTCTTTCACTTTTTACCATTTCTGTATCTGGAGTTTTAGTTTTTGACTGTAGTCAAAAGAGTATATCCCCCTTTTTAAAATGTATTGGTATACACATTTCACTTTTTTAAATCTCACTTGGTGTATTGCAAGATGTAGTCACATTTGCTAAAATATTTACAGTCTTCAAATAGATGTTCTCTAATTTACATAATATAATTAGTCAGTACTGTATATACTTATCTCTGCAACACTGAAAATGGTACAGGGTTGTCAAAACAGGTATTCATAGACTTTATAAATATTGGTTAATTCACTCATACCTCTTGATAGGATGATTGAGTAATCAGGAAACCTAGAAGAGATAGCATTGTCAAGTTCAGATTAAGCAAATGTATTGCAGTTCCTAAAAAAGTAAATAACATTATTGAAGATGGAGAGTGTCTGTACTTATGTCTCTAATTTTATTATCGTCAGTTCGATGTCAGATCCTAGTTCCATGTGGTGTTTAGTCTGTGTACTCATAAATTGATACGCGATTCCTCTCCCATGAAGGTACAGCCCAGATGCAGCACATCAAGTAGTAGTGCATCATTTTAGCTCTTCAAAATCCATTTGTTTTCATGTAGTTTACTTAATTTTCCATCAGCAGTGGTGCAAAGGAGATTGAGTTCTGAGCCAACTAATTTTAGACAAGCGAGCTCAGTGCCTTGGTTAAAGCCCCTGAGATTACAAACCTGTGACAGAAAGAAGCCTTCTTCAATTTAAAACAAAGGAATTGTAAAAAAACAGTCTTCTAAAATTTACATTTTGAGCTTGCTTAGTGGGCCCTACCTGAAGTTTCCCCTTAATTCATTAGATAAATGAGTTTCTCATCTGATCTGCTGTGGAGTTAGGCTGTCTGCACAGAATGGCTACTGTACATCACCAAGGTGCGATCTGCACTGCAAAAAAGAGCTGTATAAATTAAATAATAAATTGATTATGGTGCCATTCTTGAACAATGAAAACATATACTACAAGTGTCCATCCTTTTGGCTGAGTTGATATAGAATATATGGATAAAACAGCTGGAACAGATGGATAAAATGGGCCAATATTCATGCCAGTCAATTCCGATTGGACTGTAATGCCTTTTATGTATTGATTGTCTGCTTAAATGCTTCAGGAATCTTAGGGGTTAAAATAAATCAAGATAAAAACTCCATACATAACCTTCCATATTTTTCATAGTTTTAACATTTCCCATATAAAACAGGGCAACTGGAGTACTGTGAATGCACTCAATGTGTGAAGGTCTTGAATTTGATATACAATACACTGTTTTTTTTACTACATTATATATATATGTAATAGCTTCACAGTTTAAGAAAATAAGTTGTCAGCTTCAGTTTTCACTTTCTGTGCGCAGGTCTGTAAGCTGTATTAGCTTCAGTAATTAAATGTTTCCCACTGGATTTTCAATTAACATCTATTTTTTTCTAATTTAATTTACAGAGGCTACAGCCATTGATATAATTTATATATGCAGAATAACATCACACACTTTTAACAGTTTTGGCACTATCATGGATAAAATTTAGTTCTGTGAAACATAACTGCAAGTTTCTAAATTAATTCCAATTCACAATGTATTGGGAATAACATCATGCAATAATTCTAGACGTAGACTAAGTTCATGTTCAAAAATGTTGCAAGAAATATTTTAAGTCTAGTAAGGAGAAGGTTTTATTTTTATATCAAGTAGTCAATTAAATTGTCAAATTTAATTTTCTGCCAGTTTACTACAGGTCTTTCCTAGTGTTTCTATTTACATTTTTTTGGCCCATCTGACTAGAGTGCATTGATCCCTGCAGTCATTGGAATTATTCATTGTGTAGGATGTTAGAGGTTTATTACTGGAGAGCATTACTGCATATACTCTGATACGCTGTGCCACTGATACATTGATCACTGATACAGTCGCTGTCATAGTGAAATGTTTCCTGCCCCAGGATCAGTACTATTGCTTAATTTTCCCTCAGCACTAAATGTCAGACTCCAGAAGGGCCATCTGCATCAGGCTCTGCAAGGATCATAGAACCATGTTCATTTTGAACAGAACAAAAAGCATGTTTATTTCACATTTGTAATATATTGGATTGCTCATTTTAATATGACAAGTTTTTTGGAAATTTAGTTTTAATGTCATGTCTAAAATAGGACTAATGAGTGTTTTATTTTCTGGGATCTGTATAAGTATGTGTGCATCTACATGATGCTTTTTATACACAATTACATGGCTGCCAAAAGTGCACCAACAATATTTATAATAGTCCATACAGTACCTCAATCATGTACAGTGTGGTGCTGGTTTCCACTGGGGTTTTTTTTTGGAAAAAATCAGCAGCATAATTTATACCTTCCTTTCCAGACACTGCAGTTAAAATGCCCCCTTTCCCAGTATCTGAAATGAAAAGGGGTCCGCAAAGGCCCTGAAAACTTTGTTCTATTGTAAATTGGATCCCAAAACTGGGCATGAAATGCAAACGAGTCCTTTTCCATTTTGTCCCTTTAATTAGAATAGTGGTGGTGATTGTGGACAAAGCTTCTCGATAACAAGACATGAAAGTCTTACAGTATATTAATTTCTGGCATTTAGCTGGAGTCACCCTGAAAGGGGAATGCAACTCTCTTTTTTTTTCCTAAGAGCTAGTGTGTAATCAAATGCAAAATAAATCTGGAGCACTCTTTTAAAAGCCGGAAAGCAATTTCCATAACAAAAGCATTCAGACAAAACAAATAACTACTGCAGTCTATTCAGATTGCACTAATTGACCTCAGTAATGAGCATGTTGACTTTTATATTTTATTTTATATTTCTTCCTTCTGTCACATATTACCCACTTCTTACTTCACTTAACTCTGGCTTACCTTTTAATTATTACTGCGACAATTACTGTTCACAATAACAAACCCTGACTCTGCTTTTCAGGAGTAACCTTTTTGGTTTTGCAGCCATCTCCAGAGAATTCCTCCTCCGTTCGTACTGTATCTTTGCCTTCCTATTCGGTTTCGTACGACAACTAATATCTCCGTTCGTACACAGGCAGAGGTGATTTTTGCAGCTGGAGAGATGTTTTGTTCAGGGGTCTCTGTTTAAAAGACTGCCTAGGTCACAGTCATGGAACTCCAGAAGGATGGCTGCTGGCTTGCTGTGGCAGAATTAATTCTCTTCCCCTCCTTTCTGCTCTAACCATTCTGTCCGTCTGTCCTGTCTGTGTTCTGTTTACAAAGCAATACCACTGAAGGGCTTCTTAGACTTGCGCTGAGAAGGGGAGGGCAGGGCGCTTTAAAAATTGCCCTTCCCATCCACACCATCTACACCACCACCACCACCACTTCCAGTACTAAAATAGACCAGAGGAAAATTGGAAATGTTAAATAATTTAAAACATTGATCACGAGCCAGCCTCTTTGCTAATAAAATGGGTAGCAAATAATGCCTTTATAATAGCTTCCCAGATTAGCCTGTTTCTTTTTATGTCTATATTTAACCTTCCAAGATGGGCTCGTAGCTGAATGCAGACTTTGTTTATTTTGTATGTTTCTGTTCTCTCTTAAACCTGAAAGGGCCATTTCGTCTTATGGGATATAAACCCCTTGGGTGGTTCATTACTGAATGATGCCAGCCAGAGAAAAAGCTATTAAATTTGAACTAATCAGTGAAATTTGATCCCAGAGACTTCATAGCACTGCAGTACCATATACTGTATATCAGTGGCCCAGGGCACGCAGTCTGCTTGGAGTTCTGTAGAATGATGGCACATTATACTTCATCAGTGACAAAAATCAATCTTTGTGTTTTATCAGCATGAAGAATTCTGCTTCAGATGGTATTGTCCCCTTCAAAAAGCTGATTTCTGTATTTTCCTTTAATTGTTGCCTCATTCATGTTTATTTGCATTTTCTAAAAGATATCTTGGTTGTTGTTTTTTTTTTGCATTTTCCCTTTTTTTGCATGACACTACACAATAGCAATAAGTGGATTTTCCTAAGTTATGTTTTAGAGGACCTTCCCTTCCAGATGGAGTCTAAATAAATAATACTGTTTTGAACCACATTGCCAAGGAAATAAATATCAGGCAGTTTTTTGTGTCTTTGTTTCCTTCAGTTTTAGTTTTGATTCCCTTACCCTTTGTCCCCTTTGCTGTGTTGTACAGTATGTGGAATTTGACAGAAGTGGCCCGGCAAACTGATTTCTGTCTAACAGGCTGTGTGCTGTTGATAGGTCATCAGGAGAGAACAGGAATGGGGAGAAACTAGAACTGACCATGACCAACATCAGCGCTGACGTCCTGGAGCTGCTGCTGGAGTTTGTCTATACAGGCTCACTGATCATAGACTCCGCCAATGCCAAAACGCTGCTGGAGGCTGCCAACAAGTTCCAGTTCAACACCTTCTGCAAAGTCTGTGTCTCGTTCTTAGGTATGTCCATAGGCCTCTCTTTTATAAAGGCACTTGTTCTCAATCTTTAGAACTTTCCAGAATAGAGAAATGGGGTATGTGAAGTTCTAGACCAAGGCTGCTCACATTGTGGCTTTTCCAATTCACACATTTCCGTACACCAAGCTCCTTCATTGCACTATTGTCTGCTGTAATCAGACAGCTATATTGTGCTGACTGATTAAGCAGTTACATAGCCGGTTGTAGCAAAAGTCTGGAAAGGAGACAATTGGAGGAGCTGCAGGTTAATTAACCTAACACAGTAATAGCAGTCTAGTTCCTCCAGAAGGAGATCATTTCTTTGAAACTGTCTAGTATTCTCAGGCTTTTGTCAAAGCAAATACTGTATATCAGTTTAACTGAAGGAAATTAAAATTTGTCTTGGAATGCTGATCTATTTGGAGTTTCATTATATGTGTCTGTTTTATCATTCTATTCCAAAAGTTGGTCCAAAAGTTGGTTAACTCCCCAAACGCTCTGTTCACAATCAAAAATGTATTGTCCAGGTACAGTACAGTGTTTCTGAGCAAGGAAAAGAAGAAAACTCTTGGTTATATTTAAAATTGATTCTCCCACCACCAAGATTCTTCTGGAAGCAACCATTTCCACGCTCTCTACGACACCCTGCTGATTGGTCTGGGTATATTTAAGCTCAGAATGATGAATAAATATGAGTGTTTACCACTCATATTAGTGTTGTTCGTGTCTATCCTGTCTCCACATTTTCAATTTTTGAATTGGTTTACAGAACATACTATATATATATAGTAATAATCACAAAAGAAAACATAAAAACAACAGTTATTTGCATGTCTGTGGAAAATAAAATCATAATATCTGACCAAGCTGCTAGCAAGATTGCTGTAGGTCTGTAGTCTTGGAAATGTATTGGTCTGTTTTTGTTTTCATGTATTCAGAATGTGATTGACAGTATGCTGATGAAAACTGAAAGAACTTGAAAAATGTTTTTATTTCTTTCCTTCTAAACAATCATAAGGCAGGTTTTCAGAGTTGTGCGCTATGGCCGATTTTATATCCCAGACTTCTGACCTGTTCACTGAAAAGCTGAGGAACTGCTGTAGCTCTGTTTTCGTGACTTCTGTAAGATGTAGGCAGAGGACTACAAATTCATTTAGATAACATACTATGTTGCAGTGTTTTCTTTTTTGACATTTTGTACAAATTATGTCCCTATTTGAAGGAAATTCTCTTTTTCCCAGCTTCTCCCTTGGTTATTAAAATCCATCAGTAATCCGACGTGTTTAATTATCCTGTCTGGTCAGCTGTCTGCAGGGCCATAAAATATGCCCGTTTTTTTCTGTGCAGAATTAACTCAAATGAGAGCAGTCTTTCATCACACTTCGCAGAGTCTTTAAAATATATTTCTTTTGATTTAGGAAAAGTAAATCACAAATAAACAAGTGGACACCTTTTATTAAGGCAAGAAGTTGTATGTGTGGATAGAAAGTGACATAACAGGAATGTACAGTAACTGGAGTGCCTTCAGAAATCGAGTAAGAATGATCACAAATAATGTCATTACTGATCTTGCATGGCCTGAACATAATGAATCCGTCTTGAGTTAAAGGCCTGGAACTGTTCTCCTGATTGTTCTGTTGAAAGAGGTTCCTTTCATGTGTCTGCTTTCTGCACAGCTAGTAATCATTTGGCATTTGAGTTACTTCACCCCTGTTCTTTGATTCTTCATTCCTGGAGGCATCAGACATTCCAACAGTCTTTCTCCCTGCTCGAAGCTGATGCATCCTCAGCACCTGTACAGTGCAGTACTGTATGTGCAGGACTGTGTAGTGATCCATTGCCCTCTTCCTCCTTCCTTCAGAAAAGCAGCTGACGGCCAGTAACTGCTTGGGAGTGCTGGCCATGGCCGAGGCCATGCAGTGCACCGAACTCCACAACATGGCGAAGGCCTTCGCCCTGCAGAACTTCCCCGAGGTGGCCGGCCAGGAGGAGATCCTCAACATCTCCAAAGAGGACTTCGTCAGCTACTTGTCCAACGACAGCCTCAACACCAAAGCAGAGGAGCTGGTTTATGAAACAGCAATCAAGTGGATAAAGAAAGATCTAGCTAACAGAGTGCAGGTGAGGAAATGGCATGGCTGCACTTTACAGTGTGAGGGTGTTTCAGGTAAACCACAGGATCAACTGAGCAGCCCATCTAGTAAATGGCCCTGCTACACTGAGTGCCAGTGTGAGTCACATGGTCAGGAGCTTGGATGATATCCTAAGTGCACTGGCGTGACAGATGTTTTACTTTAAATATTGATTGAGCACCCAAGTGACTCGGCTTTTTAAAATCTGTGTGCAATGTGTCTGGCTGAGTCATGCAGTCAGGAGGTTATTAGTTCAAATCGTCTTTGGGCTGCCACATAATGGTACTTCGGGGAAAGAAAAATGTATTGATCTGTAGAGCTGTGGGTTTTGCTTGCTTAACGCTTAATCAGCCATTGGAGATTTGGTCCCTGCAGGATCGTGTGTCAGTGTTGTTTTAGGCAAGACACACATTTCTTTCTTTTTATAAAAATGAACATACAAACATAGATCTCAGAAACAGCATTAAAATGTGATGCTGCTAATGCCACATCGTTAGACACACACCTTAGTGTAACTGAACAGCTTTGTGATTAAAAGCACTTGCCAAAATGTGTTTAATGAAATTAGCTAAATCACACCTGTTCAGTTACTGTATGAGTGGCAAACGCATTTTTAGACTTTTTGTAAAATGTCTACCAGAAAAAAAAGCTACTTTAGCAGGTGTAAGCTCGGAGAAAGGGGTCTCTGAAATCAATGCTGTGTATGTGGCTGAAGTTTAAAATTTATAAATGTTACTGCAAAAACCATGGAGAATCTTTACAGGGAGACACAGGTTCTGCATGAGGTAACACTACTGAAACAAAATCTAATATTCGTACTGATACTTTATAGACACAAGTAATGCTGATTTCCTGCCGCAGAAATACATTTTCTGAAGAAAATCACAAAATGCCGAAGAAATGCATTTTTAGACGGATTAGAAAGGCTTCTGTGGTATAAGAGGCATTTTCTTGCAGAAAATCCATGACAAAGCAAATATCAGGAATGAGTCACAAGAATGATGGATTAACCAATAATAAGGATTTTATTTACCAGTTTTGAGAGGTTTGCAGAAACTAAAGGAATATTCAATTTAATAAACATTTCTCTACAAGAAGTACAGAAAAATCACTGCAATGGGGATTGTTTCAGTTTCAGAATGTGGTTACTTCGATGTTTCAGCAGCTATTGAGAGGTGGAAATGATTCTGTTGAGCTACTGTAGCTTTGTAATAAAACAGTATTTGATTTTAGTTTAATGTTTAAGAGTTGCTTTGTCTCTTGTAAAACTCTTTTGAACATTTTTAAACAATACAATTTTGAACATTAAGTATGCAGTTCAAATTCCATATTACACCATGTTTGTTTTTCTATTCTCTGAACTGTAAACAGTACAGGTGTATCTGAGATCATCTCTGCTAATTGACCTTTCTGTTAAAAGGCATGGGAAACCTGGCTGTGAAATCAGTTAAGACAGGGAGAAAAGGAAGAAATGGAGATTGATGTAGTGACCTTATGCTTATTTGGACCAGTACGGACTCCATTGAGAAACACACTGAAAGGAAATCAATCTTAAGTCTGTGAAAATGAGCTCTTGGTAGTCTTGTTGGCTTGCCTTGCGTTTCAGGGAGTAAGATCACAAATGCATCATGACATTGATGGAAAACTCTGGGTCCAGACCCTTTTTATGCCTCTCGGGTTCGTGGTGTCCTCGTAATTTTGTTTTGAGACGGTTTCTCTGCAGTTTTATCAGTTTGAGGCACATCTTTTCATTTTCATTTATCTTATTTTACTAAATGTATGTTTGCAGGGTTTCTCACAATATATTACGTATACAAATCCATGCATTGCAACTCTTTTTTTTTTTTGAAAGATGATTTTGAAACCAGGCTCTTTGCAGGTAGGAAGCATTCCAGATTTGGCTGGCCTCAGACACACTTCTGAAGTAATTGCTTTGGATGAGTGGAAGTGAGCGATCAGTAATAACAAGCTTAATGAAGCGACTTTCACATTCATTTCAGAGATTGTGAACAATTGATATCTGATAGCTGTGCTTCTGTGCTTTTGCTTCTCCACTTTAACCCATTGTCTTGCATATCAATACCCATTGATTGTGTTGGCGAGCAACCAGTGAATCTTCCTAGATGGTAATATTTCTGCCATTCCTGCTCAAGAGACTCTCTAGGGCAGCTGTTAATCACTATTTGCCCATGTTTAAAAACGGTTTGGTCTCATACAGGAATGTCAATTTCTGGACCATTTCAATAAAAAAAGAAAATGACAACTGTCACAAAGGTTTTTTTAGCTGTATTGATCTTCTATTGAAATTTACAAATCATCTGTGATTTTTATGCCACAGATGAACACTCCTAAGAATGAGGAAGGATAATGTCTCAGTGTTGTTGCAGGCAGTTAGGTAAAGGACTTTGTGAAGTCTTGTGCATTTGGTTTGAATTTACATTCGACATATGTATAGTTTAATTCTTCATGGCTAATTTGCTAAATAATAGTAAATTCTATTTATACTATTTTTAAGTGACAAGCTGTGTTGCTTTTTATTTATTTTTTGCCTACATACAAGTACCCTGTGCTCACCTACAGTAAATGCAGGATATGTTTGACAGCTTAGGCTGTTCTGAGAGATAGTAATGCATCGAATTATACTAGCTCATTCTTCATTTGAAGATTAAGTAAATATTAATAAATGAAATCACAGCATAAAGGTATTGCAGCAGAAAGTGTTTTGCACCACCCAGCAAGAATGAGCCAGAACAAAAGCAGAAGAAAAGCACTGTGCTTTCCAAGTATCAAGAGTTTGATCTCTGGTGACACAGTGGAAGGTACTGCACTTAACAAATATGTTTTGTCTTTGTCTAGACATTGCACAAATACGTTTCAGATCACTCAAACTAGATGAATTGGTATTCCCTAAGTGACAGTCTTTCCCTCCCCTGTAAACTCCAAGAGGAAAAAATAAAATAATTTGTGTATGTGAGTGGGTTACCTTGTCCGCAGGGATCATCTTAAAAACCTTTTTTATGTTTATTACCTTTTCATATACTAAGAACAACATAAAAATTCTACTTATACCCAATAATGTCATTCAGTGTTTACTGAAAATTTTAAATTAAATGTGTTTTGCAGCTGCTTTCGTAAAATTACTAATAAAGATGTCAGTAATGTCAGCATTAATTCCTTTCAGAAAGGACAGAAATGCATGGTTATGGAAAATAACACTGGAATTTATTTTAGTGAAAATGAGTTTAATAATATTCAGAAAGTGGGGTTTAAAAAGACATTGCTGTCGGGGGACTCGTTTTGTCTTCTGTCTCACTGTTTGAGTCATCAGAGGTCACTAAATGTTTGACACTTTGTGTTTCAGAATTTAGCATATAATCTATAAACCATAAACCACAAGTGAATTGGAATTTTTAGTTTAGATTTTAGTGTAAATTAAATATAAATCTTAAGATCAAAATGCAATTTACAGTGCACATCTTTATTTTTCCTTTCATCCTCAAAATATTCTGGGTCATAATCCCAAGATATCTCCGAGCGATCACATGGGAGCTCAGATACTGGCAGAATATGACTGTGCTTGTGTATTAAAGACTAGACTATCAGTTCTTGCCTATGTAGCATTGAGTATTTGTAAACCTGTGTGGTAGTGGCCTGTTAACTGAGGTGAAGACCTGAACCTTCAAGTGTAAAAAAAAGTTGCTTTCTGCTTGTGCAACACATGCAATATTTATGTATTTTCTCTGTTTTCTGTATAAGAAATACCTATAAAGTCTGTACACCTGGAAGATGAAACAGTCAGGATAAACATATCTTAGCTTGTGCCCTGAATTTGACCCTTCTCCTCAACACACACAAACCATACACACACATTGCATTCACATACTGTACATAAATACCAAACACTCACATTGAATTGAGACATACACACCGTACACAAACATTGCATTCACACACATACACACAAGTCTTGTAGATATGCATACTGTACACACCATAAAAACCTCACATTCACACATACATGATTCACACGTTGCACATATACAGTACCTGTTTACCTAGTGACTTTTGGAGCTGTAGTCAGCGATCTTGAAGGAGAAGCCTTTTCTCTAAAAGGAAAAGGAGTGGAGTGCAGAAGCTGTACAGTTTCACGAAGTAGCACTTCTGCTACGTGAAGCAGTGTCTAAAAAACAGTGGTATCTATGCCAAATGTTGAATTTGCTGAGAATTATGCATTTTGGTGACATCTGAGGGTTTGTTTGTCATATTTTCTGAATACGCTTGGGCACTTTTTTTTAACCCGGAAAAAAAATCTTTGCAACCTGTCCTAAATGGAGTTCCACTTTGGCCATTTTTGTTTTCCCCACCACAAAGTTTGTTCGTATGCATTAGTTATACTTTTTTACAGGTTTTATGCCCATATAGGTTTAACTTAACGTATGTTGTGTCAGATACTTTCTAGGGTTTTTCAGTGCAAAGCAGGGGTGGATTAAAATTATTTACATCTTGGTTCCACTCATTACATAAAAACAGTCCACAACAGTGCCATCCTTAGTATTGGTTGGAGTGGGTGGCGTAGCATGTGTTTTGCAATAACATTTGAATTTCAATATGAAATCTTATTTGCTGTACGCCAAAATTTGGCTTCTTTTTAGAAAAGTGACCAAACACTAAGATCACTTAGGCTACTCGCCATGTGTGGAGATGTTGCTAGGATAACCTATCTAGGCCCCTGAACATTACTGTGACATCACAGCACTAATTCACTTTCCAGTGAACGTATTTTATGCATCTGCCCATCTAATGAAGCACTTTGAATAGAAACGTGGCTTAAGAGGAGAAAAAAGTATCTGTCACATCACCTGTTAGTCAGTTGCTTCATGTTTACAAGAAACCTTTGATGTGGACGGAGGCCCAAAGAGACTAACAGAACATACTGTCCCCCACTGATGGAGTTGATTGCCATGGCAACCTTTTTCCCCATAGATCAATGAACGTATTTCCTAAACACCTCTCCAGTGCTGCATGCTGTCTCAGAGTTATTACCATCCAAATTGGGCAATAAACTTCTTTTTGGCTTTGTAAACATTTGAAGTTACCATCTAATTGAACTTAAAAGTTTGCTATTTGAGTTTAACAGCAATAGCACACTGGTTAGAGTCCATTTTAGAGCTACTGAAATTCCTGTCACTTCACTGGTGCTTGAAAGAAAGCTGAGCTGTCAAAATGAATTCTGATTTGTTTAGGGATCTGTACAGTACAAATGTACTGTAAGATTGTTTGCATGTAATGACTAAAAGTATAAAAAATATATGCTACATAGAATACAATAAAAAACATTTTACATTTTACATATTCACATGGTTAATAAAAATCCATTGTTTGGGAAAAATGTCCTATCCATTTTTGTGACACTTTTCGTTTTCCCACTGAGTTGAAACTGATATTTTTGGTGAAACTAAATATTACAAGAAAATTCATGTAATTTCTCTAGAGCCAACCGAAAAGTATAATTTTCAAATGGCATACTTATTGATACGATAAACCCTGTCCTTACTATCCTTTGTAAAACATGGTAATAAATGGGGCGCTCAGTCAAGATGTCTGGGGAGTAAGTAACATCTCTGTCTCTCTGCTGCCGGTATTCGTTCCCAGCACGTGTCCGAGTTGCTGGCGGTGGTACGGTTGCCCTTCATCCACCCGAGCTACCTGCTGAACGTTGTGGACAACGAGGAGCTGATAAAGTCTTCAGAGGCCTGCCGGGACTTAGTCAATGAGGCAAAGCGCTATCACATGTTGCCCCATGCTCGTCAGGAGATGCAAACACCGAGAACACGGCCAAGACTCTCAGCAGGTAGGTACCAGCTTTTTACAGTACTGAACTTTCAGTCAGGGTCCAGGAACCCAGACAGCCAAAGTGCCTCACATACAGTAAGTGTGTATCAATGGGGATTGCTTCCAGTTTTGAGTTAGGAATATTAGAGGTTCTGCTTTATAGTTCTAAGAAGGCTTCCCCACTCTTTTGATACTTCATCCATCCATTCATATTCTAACCGTTTTATCTAATTCAGGGTCATGGTGGCCCACAACCTTTCCTGGCAAGCAATGGGCACAATGCAAGATTGGACAAGACCCCAGTCCATCGGAGACCACATACAAACATAAACTCACTCACACTAGACTGGGAAGAAAGGGGGAAGAAACCCATGTGATCATAGGCAGAACATACAAAACTCCACACAAATATTACTCCAGGAATTGAACCCAGGCCCCCAGCAGTGCTAACTGCTTGCACCATCATGCCACCTTCATGTGACTGAATCTCAGGCAGCGACTGGAAGCCAGCACAGTGTACTAAAGGGTAATTTGTGTTTTACAGTTCAGATTTTCCTCCTTGCTTGCCAATTCTGAAGCCTTTCCTAAAAAAAAAAATGTTTTTAAGTGTTAGTCATAAAAATGTACTGTGTGCTGAACAAGAAATGTCTTGTTCTGAGCAGCAGTGTGGAACAGTGGTCGGGGTTCTGGACTCATAACTGGAAGGTTGTGGGTTCAAGTTCCAGGTGAGACACTGCTGTTGTACCCTTAAGAAAAGTACTTTACCCAGATAACTCTAGTATACACATCTGTATAAATGGGTGCAAATGTACTGTAAGTCCCTTTAGATAAAGGTGTTAGCTAAATATTTTTTTGTTGTTGTTGTAAATTTGCTTTTTTAACAATTGAGGACATAAGATCATGAGGAAGGTTACAAACAAAAGGAAGCCTTTGGCTTATCTAGTGGTTTCTTGTTGCTAATTGTTCCAAACATCTCATCCAACCACTTCTTGAGAGGAGTAAAGGTATCAGATTTGACACATGCCTTCACTTGTCTTCATCAGGGGGTGTATATATATTTCACTTTCTATAGATTTGATTTACAAAAGAGCAGTTGTGTAAATATTGACTTAAACAGATTCAGTTATTAGGCTCAAGTATTTTTCAGGTAAGGTTTGAAACCAACAAAAGTTATATGAATTGCCTACAAGTCTTTAGTGCTGCATAAATACAGTGCTTGTCCATAAGAGAATCTGGACTTTTTTGTGAACCTTTTAATGGAATGACAATATTTTATCTCTTTTTGTGAAAGCTTTTTGATTTAGGACCAAAATACCTGGAAAAGGTAATTCCACAAACATGAAATAAGCTCCTTTGCTTTGAAGTTTGGTTGTTTTGAATATGTAAGGCTGAGCTGGTCCGCCATCTGGCTTATTCTCAGCTTCATTGTGATGTTCAAATGCACAGTGAGAAGTAAAAATTTGCTGTGGATTTAAAAGCTGTTCATGAAAGGTAAATGTGGGTAGAACTGTGTTTTTGCAGTATTTCTTTTTTAATTCAAAGGCAGCATGTCCATTTACAACTGGAAGTTTGGTGCTGCTTCCATGTGTACCTGCTGCCTGTACAAATTACATTTTTTTTTTTATCAAATCTGCGAGAACATGGATCCTCTAATGGAGAAAATAGCACGAGTGCTTTGATCTTCCTGAACAACAAGATGATATATGTGTTAAGAAAGCATTACAGCAGGTGGAGAGACATTAAGGTTTTATCACTAATAATCAAAAACGTAGGAAGAGTATCTAACCTAGTGAGCCGAGACAGCTGTGTGGATCAGCCTCTCAAGTGGAGTCCAATGTGAGGAATGTCAGCCGTGAAAACCGCTCCCGCTGAGTGCCCTCAATCTCAGAAACCCCTGAGGCAAGTTCAAGGCTTGAAATATATAGGACCTGGAGGTGTTCTGTATACACGTTATTCCTGATGGCAGAGGAGGCAGGAAGCTACAGCCTTCCAAAAGACATGACCTAAATAATGTTGAACAGCGGCCTTTTAAAAACTTTGGCCAAGCTGGGTTAGAGTCACAGGTTAAAGCATTGCTACAAGCTGCAAATCATTGACAATGTACAGTATGCCTCCGTCTCACTCCGTAAGCATGCACTGAATGCTTACATGTAATAAATGCACATTATCCTTGCTGTATGTTATGTATAACATTTTGGGAAAGTCACAAATAAGGAAGATTGCTCTCAGCCAAAATGAGTGAAATTAGTTCCATATTTTGATTTTGCTTTCTAGTTCAGTAATTCCAATTACAGGTTTCTATTTGGGGCATACTTGCTTTCAGTTCCTAAAAGGTCAAATGGAATTTGTAATCGTTATCAACCCTGTACCAATTTCTGAATTTCAGAACTGCCCTCTTTCAGGTGTGTTCCTGAAATGTAACCGCTTAGACCTCTGCAGAAAGAAAAATATGCTGATTGTGGGAGTGTCTGATGCAGATTCATCTCCCTGTGTCTGTTCATCATCACTTGTTCAGCTAAGAGCTGTTTAGTCAGATGTAACAGCAGGCAAGTTGGAAAGAGGCTGCATAAAGTTCTAAGTGCTGAAGTTACCTGTATTTAAACAGTGTCTGTGACGTAGGATATATTTTGACACTCAAAACATAGTAAACGAACTAGTTAACTAAAGCTCTAAACAAGCCAGCAGAACAACTAAGTCATTAATTAGCACCGAAGATTTAGTGCTCAGCTGGAATGAAAACCAGCAGAGAGAGTGATTCTCTAGGACCCAGGTTGGGAACCAGTCCTCTAGATCATGATGTAGAGCAAGGAGAAGAGCTGTTACAGATCATGCAGCTCTGCTACAAACAGGAGAGTGGTAGATTGATACTTCTTCAGAAAAGCACTGTTAAAATGTAGATCTTAAAACCACTAGGCCTGACTGATGGGGTGCTGAATTTTAGCATGAAAGCAAAAATGCTAGTAAATGCCAGAAACAAGACGTCCGCTTGTCTGTTTCTTTATAACAATAGAAATTATTGTTATATAAACTCTTATAGACTATTACAGTTGTTTTATATTTTCTCCTCTTCTGTATTTATTGTCTCCTGAGGGAATTGTTTTCTATAAATCATATCTCCCACTTCTTGAAGTTAATTATTATTGTCACTACTGGTGCAGTGTGACAGTTGGGATTTTTTCCCTTTGCAATAATTGCACCGGATGTATTTTGCTAATCTTTAAATGTAATTATACCAGCATGCTTGTTAACATCATGTTAATACAATTTGTACTGCACCTTTAAACTACTGATAAAACTGAAGCTTGAAAATATGGCAAGCCTCTTCCTTATACAGTCTGAAGTCTGCTAGTGTGCACACACAGGCAATAAAGCTGTTTGAGAAATAATTGAAATTTTAGTAGCATGTTGCACTTTTGCACAAAATAGTTGGAGAGTGCTTTCCTTCTTAGGAGGAAAAATAAATTGCTTCAGTAAGATAAACAGTTAAACTGTTACAATTAAAAGGAAAAGTCTGCAGAAGTGCCCACTCAAATAGTGCCCATGTTTTGCAATCAATACCAGATTCCTAATGTTGGAGAGAGCCACAAAGCCAGTCTTGACAGGGCAGAGTAATGAAGTGGTAGGTGTCCAGCGCTCTTAATTTGTAGAACACAACACTTTAAAGATGCTTGTTAAATTAAAAGGAAGGGCAGTGTGCCCACAATGCTTTTATACCGCTGACTCATTAGCACCAATGAAACCTCTGAAACATCTATCTCCTCTGCAGTAGATGTTTATTAAGAATGTGTTTCTTATGCTATGAACCTAAAAATTGATTGCTGGCAATGGGTTGTACCATTTTGCACAGAAAGCTCCAGATTACATGACATCTTCAACCAACTTACCAAACCTACTGCTTCCTGGCAGCTTTGTAGTAAAAAACCCTCTGCAAATATCCTTAACCATGCACTTCTTATGGCAAAAAACTTATCAATAATACCATTCATAGATATTATGTCAGAGATGTAGAGAACCAAGGAACAGTCAATTTTTAAACGGATGCAATATGATTAAGGGAGAGGAGGCTTGCAGTATGTAAAATGTTCACCTTAAACTTGCAGTATTCTTTGGGCTATAAGAGTGGACGTATGCTTCATTCATGCGAAGTATTGCTGATATCTGGATAGCGTTAAGTCAGTTGTGTAATGTGTCCTGTTACATCACCTTGATTTGCTGTTGAACCACAACATAATGACAGCTGATTTCCCTTTGCATTATACATTCTGCCATCAGATTCCTTGAAAGATCCTATTATTTCCTTTTCATCTCATTTTTTATTATTATTAAATAAATTCTGCAAGGTGTAATGAAGCGCATCAAGCTTCATCAGATTTCGTTGATGGAATTTCATGCTTTCAACTCACTGTGCCAGTGTCTATTCTCACTGCATAAGTAATATACAGTATAAGAGACTTTTACTCCTTAACTTCACAAGTATTCCTCTCCTTACACTTTGACACATTTTAGGATTCTATTCAGTGTGTGTACTGAAAAGATCAGAACAAAGGACTTGGATTTCTAAAGCCTTTTGCAGACTTAATTAACATTTGTTACTGCAAAGTTTTATGGTTTAGTTTTCCATCAGTTCCATGCGACGAAAAACACCAAACATATAAGAGAAATATTTTGCATGGTATTAATTTATTTTGTTGGTGCTTTTATGTGTGCAAGTGTTAAAAGCGATTTAATATTCACACACATCTGTGCATCAGGGCATTTTGCAGCAGTAAACTGAGTGAGTTGCCATGCTCAATGATCCAACAGCAGAATGACACCTGGGATTTCCATTTGAAACTTTCCAGTTCAGACTGTAGAACCTTTGCCACTTCCTAACAATGATTGGTGTGCAAGACTTTATATCATTGCATAGTGAAAGGCACTCTTCACCAGCCTTGCCTTAAAAAAAAAATGATATGCTTTAGTCTACCAGACATACCTAGAAAAATAAATAAATGGCTAATTTAACAGGGAAGTTTATGCTTCCTTACCTAAAACAGTTCAGGACAAACAGCTCAGGAGTAAAATATGAGAATATACCATTACAAAGATTTCATCTTAATAAAAGGTCCAGTATTGGGATGTTCTGTATTCTTGGATAGCGTTGCATGGGCAAACAGGTGTGTTTCCCTTAACCTTAAATAAAGGTTTAAGGGGAGAAAAAAGCTTCTACATGTACAGAACTGATAAGAAGGTATTTAAAATGCATTAGCAGTAGTTTTTGTCAGCCACTTTGTACTGGAACAGTTCCTTTCCTGCTTGTCATCTTCCACCCACCCTTTTATCTATCCACTCAAAATCTGTGTCTTAGACATCTGTGTCCAGCTCACTGCCAGACATAAGAGACATTCACAGCACCCCTGTGAGATACCTTCTGTTTTCTCATGTGCATATGAAATATGAAATGAAAACTCTGTTTTCAATTTTTTTACAACCTGTGCAACAAATTATTGCAGGCTAATATACAAGTGAAGGCTCGGATTTTTTTACAATTTGCTCAATGCAAAGTCAGACAGGTATTTTGACAGTTGTGCGTCTCCTTTAATAGAAGAGCTGGCCGTGGGATCAGAAGATACAGACTGCAATAGTCTGGCACAAAAAATTGAAAAAGATGAAGTGGCAGAGTACAGTAATGTGAGCAAGGTATAATATACTTAAAGGATCACTACAGCAGCTATTGAGGGACTTTCAGCACATACAGTCTTTCTGGACCTCCACAGTGGGGGAAACGCTCAGATACTTAAATATTTCAATTCCACTTACTCCTATCCTTGGGGATTTATCAAAGGTTAGAGTACCAATTCAGCAGAAAAATACACCCATGACCCTTTCTGTTACTGCTAAAAATGAGGCTGTATCACAGATCAAATTTAAAAAGATATTGTAAAATCTACACAGAAATAATATTGAATATAAGCATGTAGGGGGCCCATTAGAAGAATATCCGACTGGAATTGAAAGTCATTAATAACGCATATTTTTTTTATTTTCTTTTTCTTGTCGATACAGTTTTCCTTCACCTCCTACCCTTCAATTAGCAAGATATATTTTACAATATAGTTCCCTTTTGCTTTAATTTTCATTTTACAGTTAATATTGGAATGCTGTTCATACTAATCATCTTACCAAAAATAAATAAGTCGAGGAAAGTAAATGGTATATACAGTATGGAAGTGAACGTAAGAATCATGAAAAAAGTAGATGAGAGAGAGACTGAGTTGTCTTCCACCTTAGGTACCTGGGGGAAAAAAAAGACTTATGCCCTCTTCTGAGGGCATAAAAAGATAAAAAGATTGTGTGACCTGGTTGAAAATGGTGGCATTCTTTCAGCCCTTGTAAAAGTGTCTCCGTGCCTAATTTACACATAGATCTGGGCAAGTCTTTGTGGCAAGGCCACAAAAATGGAGAGTGACAGAGCTGAGCTGGCACTGTGCCTTGGAGCACTAATTCCTTGTGTCTCATTGTGCAGAGCAACAGAACGAGTCGGATTCCCAGCAGGGGAGCTGAACGTCTGATAGGAATAAGAGACAGATTTCCTGATCCTCGTCATGCTTATGATGGCAGAGGACGGGGGACAGGGAAAGGGGGGTGAGGATTTAAATGGAGCTCAAGGGCTGCGCTAGCTTGGGTTACATCAACACAACCTGCTGCTTTTCACTGGGAGCGTGCAGTTACCTGTGCTGGGGTGCTCTTTCGTTCCAGGGTGATGCTAGCACAGTTCTGCAGGGATAAGTGAGGGTAATGGCTGTAGAGAGCAGTAACAGTTCACTCAACAAATAAAGCCACAATGGTGTCAAATGGTAGAGGAGAGATGTAAGGATATGCTACTTGGCTGTCAACACAGCAGGCCTGGGCTACCGACAGTTAGAGGTGCAGCTCCCTGCAGCTCAGGGTTCCTTCTTATAGACAGGCTTTGAAAGAAGCAAAAATTTTCCTCCCTTCATCTAAAGCCCATGAATGACAGCCCGTCCTGAGTATCTTGGCATATAAAATCCCTGATCTGAGCAGGTTTGTGAGGAAGTCTGCCATTGCTGGTTTTCTGTAATAAATCCTAAAAACGCAGGCTTTGCTGTCCTATGTCACCTCTGCTGGGTGAAACATATGAATCAGGCCGGTGTCATGGGGTGCATTGTAAGTTAAATATAATGGCTTCTGATTATGAAGTTCTATTGATGTATATCATGGTAAGAGACTGGTAATGCGCTGAGGATTGAGGCACAGCAGGGTGAAATACAATAAGTAATTTAGGCCAAAGAGCAAAGATTCTTGTCACAAACTACTCTACAGAATTCTCAATAGTATCATAATGAAAAGGGATTCTTTTATTTACATTTTATACTGGTAAAATTATATTAATGATATCCTGATTTTGCTTTGATCGTGGTATTCTTTATGATATCTTTATGCCAATGTTTATAAATGTAGATTAAGGTTTCTTAAACATTTATGTAGTTGACTTAAATTCTGTCTTACTATTTCAACTATAGAGTACCTTCACATTTAGCCAAATGCATACAAGAACAATACCTTGCCTTGTGAGAAAAGAAAAGAGTAAAATCAATTTGCAGAGACGTCATGTTAATTCACTTCAGTTGCTTTATAATTAAGTGTGTGATTGCGTCTCTTGTGTGAACATAAAAGCTAACAAAATTTAAGGCATTACATACAACTTGGCATTTAGGGATTTTCGTTCCATTATCTGTTAGGAGATGTAATTCTCAGTGGCATCATTTTTTTTTAAATTCCATTAAAGCAGCAGAACAACACTTTGTCTGTTTTAAGCCTTGACAGGTCCCAACAGAAAATTCTTCCCAAAGGCCATAGAAGACGTTGGCTTTATCTCCGTTCCAAAGGAACATTGATGGTTCTTCTAATTTTATTCTTTTCAGATGAAAAGGTTTTTTTTTCTTAAATACTGGTCATCTGCTGTTCCGTAATTGTTGCAAATCCTCAGACAGCAGCAGGTCCACAGGTCTATATTATTCGTGATATTTGCTTCAATGTCTCCTGTAACATTTTGTTTGGAAATTCTGAAATCAGTAATGCAATTTTAAAGGCTGCTGCGCTGTGCATCATAATAAGGTTAGAACTGATCTGCTTTCGACACAACATAAAATCACTTCAAGTCAATCAAATCCTGTCCGAATACCACAAAACATTTGGAGAAAACGAAAACACTTGGCTTGCATTATTGTTTGCCATGTCTGAGATGATTTTGGGTCCCAGCCCTTTTTGTTTCATGAAGTTTTACTCTGGTGTTTACACTTGTTAATTGAAAAGCTGTAGTCTCTTACATGACTACATTTCTGCTAGAAATGCTTCTAACAGAAAGAAAGGTTCTAGCAGAACCTTTTTACTCCCTAACCCTAGCTATGCTGAAAGAAAAAGTTTAAAAAGTGAGCTACTGTATGTCCTTTAGTCTGTATTCTTTAACGTTTTTTTTTGCGCAAGTGTTATTTTCTGAATATGAGCGAAAAGTTTTTGTCATTAATTAGTCTGTCATATCATCCAAAAAGAGTAACATGGTAAGGCAATCAACTATTACATTGTTGTTAATTTAATTAGATTTTTTTTTAGTATGGTGGTTACGTCTCACAGGAGTATTTTTAAAGAAATTCTAGCAACAAAAAGATGACTTTATGTTCCATTTAAAAATGTACAGCTACCATCTGTGCTGTTGCTAAGAGCAACTGATAAGATGTGAACTCCAATTATGAGTCAGGGGTTGGAACAAGTTTAAAATGTTTTTAAATAATATAGGTTTCAGACTGTTCTGTTTACATGCTGTTCCTTAATTTGGTCTAAAAAGATATTGAAAACACAAGTGTAAAAAGTAATGTACCTATTACTTTAGTATGGAGGTTTAAATCTTATTAGTTTATGCAACAAATAAGAAGACAAGTATAATTACTGCTTTAGGGCAATGCTTTATAAAACAGAGGACCTTGGCCCATCAGGATGCAGTGAAAACGTCTCACGTCTGCTGTGGAAATTGAAGAGAGCACATTCAAAAAGAATGAATCAGAAGCTTCGTATAGCCTCTTCCAGCATTGACCCAAATATTGAACAGTTATGGTCATTGAAGCAAACTCGCTTTTCAAATTGAAATTCTCAACAACAAAAAAATGAAGTCAAATATTTCTGTTTCAGCCTGAGTTCATATTTCTAATTGTTTGGTGGACAAGCACAAACGTTTGGTTAGGTCAGCCAGAAGCTGATGGGAATAACAGTACTATTTTTTTCTTCAAATTGAAGAATTGTATTTATCCGTTAGCTATTTTCCAATTTACATAAGAGGACTGGTGCTTGGTATGGTGTGGATAGGAATTCTGATGTTACAGGTGGTGAGCGCTCTCTCTCCCTTTCTGTCTTTCAGGTGTGGCAGAGGTGATCGTCCTGGTTGGGGGTCGGCAGGTAATCGGCATGAACCAGCGAGCCCTGACGGCTGTCACGTGTTTCAATCCCCAGAATAACAAGTGGTATCCCTTGGCTAGTCTTCCTTTCTACGATCGAGAGTTCTTCAGTGTCATTTCGGCCGGTGACAACATCTATCTTTCAGGTACGTGAAAATTTTCTGTGGGATAGCCCTGCCTCTGGCAATGCTTGGCCAGTTGTGCACTGCCACAGACAAACTCCTGGTCACATGACCCACGCTTGAACTCTTGATTTCTGGAATACAGAACTCAGCCATCACCTCAGATCTGAGCCTTTATCGGTTTAGCCACTCAAGGGTTTATGTTCTTATTTAATGTATAGCATGTGCTTCCAAGAGGGACTTTTCACTGGACCTGTTAAATGTTTGTTTAAAATGTTTTCTGCTTTAAATTAGAGGAGATCAGACTTATGCCACATATTTTGTGATTTATATGGATTTCCATGTAATCTTTCAAGAATTATTCTTTCAAGCAGTGTTTTACAATGCAATTAAAACTACCTCTAGTAAAAGAAATGGTGCCATTTTTCCTTCTGTTAGAGGTTTTTTTTCTCCCTTTGTTTTAAAGCTGGTACAGCAGGAACAACATTTTTGTTTTTAAATAAATTCTTGCCTCAATTATTTTAAAATGGCATGAACGGTAACTTTGCCAACATAATTTTTTTTTCAGACCACACAAATGAAAGAATTAACCAGTGCGATTTAAATCTAATTGCAAATTCAAGGTTTTCTGTTTAGGAATGTTCAACAGTTGTAAAAGATAATGTTAAATACTAAATTGAGAAAGAGGAGAAAGCAGTCCGTTTTCACAGCCTTTATTAAGCATGATGTTTCTAGATGTCTGAATTGAATTCTTTCCAATCATTTTTTTTCCTAAGCATGTCAAAAATCTTTAAATGACCTCTTTAAAATAATCGCTTGTTTAGTTTTTCCCCAACACTTTGATTTGGTTTCTTGAAACACCAATTAACCCTGACATTTTCATTTATTTTGTTTTTTCTCTCTAGACGTTTTTCCTGTAATCACAGCATGCTTTTTTTGTGCTTGACAAACAGAGGGTTTTGTTTTTTAGGGAATGCCAATGAACGCTTTCTGTAAAGTGAAAACAAACGTGTGAAGAATTCAACATGGTTGTTTTTTTAAACGTAGTCCCCTCGAGATTTATTTTTGCCCCTCGACAAAATGGGAACAAAAAACATGTAACAGAAATGTTAACAAAATAGGTAACATCCTACTCAAAAATGCAAAATATGAAATTCTGTCATCTTATGTGCAATCATTTGTGTCCAGAAAGCATGAGCTTCCCAATTATTCACAGACCTGTAGTTAGTATTTTGTTAATCCTTCTCTGGCTGTGATGTCAAGTAAGGCCATTTATGATGGGTAGTTTTAAACTTTCCTCCTGACAAAATTGCTCTGCATCCTTTAGACTCTTTGATTTACATTTGTGAGTTTTCCTTCTTGAGTTCCAACTACAAATATTCAGTTGGATTGAGTTCTGATCTGGAGATTGAGATGGCCTGTCCAGAATATGTATCTTGTGTGCTGGTCATTCAACTCTTATCGCTCTGTGCAATGCTATGATGATTGCAGTGATTCGGTGTATTACACTGTAATTATGAGATAATGTCTCATTATTTATTCTGCTAGTTGTGCTACAGTATATGATGTTTTTGTCCCCCTTTCATGAGGAGTATATATAAATCTCAAGGGTACAGTACTGTATGTATATTCTTTAATTCCTGTTCCTCTGCTCTGTCTCTCCTCTCAGGTGGTATGGAATCAGGAGTGATGCTATCAGATGTCTGGTGCTATATGTCCCTTCTCGATAACTGGAACCTTGTTTCTCGAATGACAGTTCCTCGGTGTCGACACAATAGCCTGGTGTATGATGGAAAATTGTATACTATCGGAGGGCTGGGTGTAGCTGGGAATCTGGACCACGTTGAAAGGTATATCATAACACATTTTCTTATTTCCCTGCTGTTTATCTAGAGCAGCTCTGTGTGATGAAGAGTTCTGTCGGTACCAAGGACCAGGCATATGAAAGGACACCAGGCTTATACAAATCATTAAATGTCAAGAGATTATGCTAAGCAAATAATAGTTATTCACTATTGTCTATTTGTGGCATTAATTTAAACCTTTAATAGGGATCTATGCAAGTTTGTAATGTGGGCTTACAAATGCATTTATAAAAAATTAAAATATCTACTCTTCAAAAGTGCATTAACAAAATATATTGTTTTGAGTACTATAAAAATGTTCCCTATAATACATTTTGGAAATGAATTTCATCATCTTTATTTTGTAGTATGTTCTAGTAAAATAATGCACAAGATTAGTGTTACCACAATGAATATTATGTACTTTAAAACAATTATTTATGGATGATGTCAATTCAAAATTAAATGAAAGTGTCAGCTATTTAGAATTATGGTTCTACCTGTTTTTACAATATAAGCAGGCTCATTATAATTCAATAGTGATGCTTAAATAAACTACTGAAGCTTTCTTGAGTGGCATTGCAATGTCAGGGTAAGGGTTTTACCATATTACGAGAAACACCGAACTACATTTGCTTTCAATTACAAATTTCCAATCTTTAGATCAGGAGTGTAAGCAAATCCCACCGGTGTGTTAAGTGTGACAGAGAGGCTGTTGGGCAAGAACTAACTTGCAGACAAGGTACAGGTCTCGTGCTCAAAATAACAAGGGACCAAAGACTCTGCCTCTGGGGGACTTCCAGCAAATTGGTTCTGCTGAACAGCTATGCTATCAAGAAGGAAACCAGCAAAGCCAAGGCTAAAATAACCTTGGTGAATCAAAGCATGCAGCCTGAAATGCCCAGACACACATGGATTTTAGTGCCTAGGGGCAAACTAATGAAGATGGAAACACAGTAATGACTTCCAAAGGAAGCACCATTGTTTTTACTCTGTTTGTCTGCCTAATAGAAGCACAACTGATTGGAATTTGGAGCACAAAGAGTTTTAAATGTGAAATTGAATTTGGAGAAAGGCCTATGCGGCTGCTTTATTTTTCTAAAACAAAATACTCCTTAGTATCTACATCTCTGTAGCAAATGTAGGAGGCACAGTCTTCTGAAGCTGCCTGGAGGAAGCCCCTTCAGTCTGTAAATTAGAAACTCCCTGGAAACTCGAAGACACACAAGATCAGCCTTAAGAAAGAAACTGATGGAAAACATAATTTTGAATGTAGGCGATTTCATGGTTGGAAGCATGAAACTGAAAGGAAGATGGATAGTGGACGACAAATTAGGAATGGGAAAAACAAAAGGCTGAGGCTGTCGGCCATCTCAGCAGCCTTGACTGTGAGTAACGCTGGAATCCTTCAGTAAACAAGCATTGTATATCTCACCAATACCGTCAATCACTCTCTGATTCAAGACAGGAAATAAAAAACGCCTTCACTCCACACAACAGTGTAGATACATCTTTTCCCTTTTGTACTGGGTTTGTGCTTGAGTCTGTTCATATCCTGCATGCCTGGGGCTAAAATAGGTTCTGTTTGTACATACAGTGGCACTACTGCTCTCAACATCCTGCTACCTCTTAACAATTAGTACCAGACCCTCTGTGGCCAACATACAGGTAGGATGCTGAATGCAGTTTGCTTCTGAAGAAGCAAAGCATAGCATTACTCAATGCAATGTACTGTATCACTGAGTGAAATTATTTCACACAGCGTATGTGATCTTAAAGTTTTTCCAGGATGAAATCTCAACAGAATGTAAGCATTTTTGTGGCTTTGCCATGGAGCTCCATCGTACAGGAATGTTTTAGACTGTTTATCAACAAACAAAATAAGGAACTGGAAAAACAACGACTAAATATCAGTAGTAGTAAATATTATACCAGTAGCCCCATAGATGTGTACGTTTGTCTGGCCATCCTTTTCTGACCAGATCTGAATCTGTGGGTCTGCTTTGACTCCGGTTTTCAGAATGTTTTCTCTGTGCAGTTGTTTTCATCTAGGCACAGCGCAAAATCCCACATTCAGATTTCTTTTCCCTGTACCATCTGGCACATAGTAGTTTTCTGTTTGCAGTTTCCCATCAGCAGTGTTTTGAAGGTTAAATAATCTTCATAGTTCATTCTTAATGTCTTCTTGATGTTAGTACAGAATACATCTTTGTTAGATCTTTAGGGAAAAAATATTTTAATTGAAATCTCACTTTTCAGATACTTTCCAAATGCTTTGTTTTTTACAACTCCCCTTTTTATCATTATGGTCCCTTAAATGGGTTATTTAATGTTTCTCCCCTTTTAGTTTACTCTTTTAGTCAAACTATGGCTCATTAGTTTCTACTCTACTTTGGAGCCCACTGTATGACTGTAGAGTATATCCAGTAGAGTCAAAATTGTCTCCTGCCTTTGCTCACAAGTGGCTCGTCTGGGAAAGGCACTCATTTTCAAATGCCAGTTTAGCTCTGTGATTCAAAATCCTCGAGTTTGAGATGGGATCAAGTCACTGCCTGACTGGACCCAAGATTCCCCAAGCAGTAGTGCCCAATTGTCAACACCCCAATGGTAGGGCTAGGATTAGTTGGCTCAGCAATTTCCCAGGTGCCTACAGGCATGGCATGACATCATGAGGATTGTTTCAGAAGCTGCAGACAACTGGGAGAGAATTTCTTTTTGTTCTGACCTATAAAGTAAGAACCCTAGCAGCATCTATTCATGCAAATGCAGCAATAATGTTAATTAAATTACATTTTAAAAATGGTATGCAAATTTAGCATTTCAGATGCATGATAATGGTCCCGAGTTTAGGAACATCTGAATGTGTTATTATAATGCACAAAGAAATGCATTGAGCCTCTGAAGAATAATGGGGAGGGGGGTTCTGAAGTGACTCTGTCAGGAGTATAATTTTAAGCTGTATGATCCAGATGTCAGGTCAAGTAAGAGTCATGTCACTAGCTCTGTGTCACAGTGATTCCCCAAGCTGTGCACAGTAGGCACAGTGCTGCAGGGTGTAGGGGTCAGCTGCACGAGTCCCAGCAGTTACACTTGGTCCCAGTGAAACAGCGAACCCTGCATCTTCCTGAGTGCGTGCAGACTCACGGTGACACCAGTGAGAGATGTGCCTCTCCTCCAGTCAGCACTGAGCCATTTCTGTGTTGCTGCAGAGCTTGTAGCACATCTCCAAACAATGATGATGTTGGCCTGGCTGAATTGGTGAACAGGTCAGAAAGAATATATGCATCTTATTCTCTCAAGTATTGTCCATGTGAGCTGGGATAGAAAGACACTCGAGATAATGTGGGGATAAAGTCAAATAGAATTGGTGTATTTAAAAAACATAATTGCTGCTATTAGCACATACATTCAACGTATGGCACTGATTACACTGTTAATTACTGCTACAGTTCTAGGTTCTTGGCCATTAAATGGAAAACTTAATTAAAACATCTTGTAGTAGGATCACTGGGAGCACTTCATTGGAAACTCAGAAATGTGACCATCTCTTTCTGTTTGCCAATCATCAAATTTAACACAAATATTGTAAGAAAATGGGCCTTACTTTGGTTGTTAGTAGTGTGAAGGAAGCTAGGGTATCAGCTTCTACAACATGGCTAGATGGCATGTTCCAGACATCCAAATCTCTTTGTGTAAAGAAGTAATTCCTAGAAATTCACAGGATTTCAAAGTCTTCTTTGTTCAAAACTAAAAAGATTCAGATCTTTTTAAGACATTCCTTTAATACTGGCAATATTCCTGGCTTTTCATTTTTTAACCAGTTTCATAACAGCAATATACTGTATTTTTTGTCTATAATATGTCACTACCAACTCCATTAGCACATAATATTCTAGATGAGGTATTACCTATACTGTACAGAAATAGTGTTGCTAATATACTTGCACCTTTCAGTAGGTAGAACAAGGCCACTGAGTGTGAATTTGTAGCCCCAGAGTCTGTTTGTCCAAGCTGCATTTCTAATTAACATTCCGGAGAAAGACTCTGCTTGTGGTTTTGAGAAATTGTACACGTCTGAAACATCTCCAAAGCTCAGTTTATATTTTCCCTACACAGACGTTTTCATCACAATAATACTGGGAAGCGTGCCTATGCCTCTTGATAATGTTTTATGTAAATGCACTAAGACTTGTTAAAAGATGACACTATTACACTTTGTCAAATACTCTATATTCTCCCTTTACTGACATGCATAGTAGAAGAAATGTTAGTGCAGAAAGCATCCTGGAAGGAATCGATCTTTGAGCAAGAGCCTATTCAGTTACTGAAAGGAATACCTGGTGCCCTGCACAGGCTCCACTGATGAGCAGCAGTACACGGAATTCTAATGCATTAAAATGAAGTGTTGAGTCTCTGCTTGGCCTATTTACTGATCAGGAGCGGAGACTGTAGGCATGTAACTAATACCACCTTTCTTTAAGCTGCACCATGATGGCTCAAAATTAATTTTAATATTTTATGCTGTGAAGAAAGTGGAGTTTTCATATCCATTATTCCTTCCTTCTGGGGGGAGATATTGTTTAGTCAATCAATTACAAGTTTATTTATCAAATGCACAACAATACAGCGTGCAGCTGTAATTGCTGGCAATGAAATGTCATTTCTCCGAATTAACTAGGGGGGGTAAAAATCACAAAATTAAAGTGACAAAATAAGGTTACATAATAATAGTAACAATAGGAATTAAAATAAGATAAACTCAGACAAATCACAATATAAATAGAGCTGTTATGTGTCCAGGGTGTATGCAATCCATTATGTCCAAGTAGTACAGTATGCCAAATACAATGAAAACTGTATGTCCATGTAGCCATTACAGTTGCTCTTTGTGTTGATAAATTCTTATGTGAGCTTTGAATAAATGCTCATTGTCAGAGTGTCACACTCCTTTGCTGTGCTGGGCCAGATTTGATTTACAGTAAATGTAGTTCAAGTGGACCATACAT